CGTGGGGGCCTCAAGCGGCCCCCACACAGGACTCAGTCATCTCCCCACGAGAATCCAACGCCTGGGCTCTGACCCTGACTCACCCTGGGTGCAGAGCTCAGAGATTTAGTGCTGGAAGGGGCCTCAGAGGCCTTTACAGGTGAGGACAAGGAGGCCTGCCCCAAGTGCCCCAGCTCCATAAGTGCCTGAGGCAGACTGACAGAGAAGGGGAAGAGAGAATTGTGCTGGTGCCCGAATCCATGACCCACAGCTTGGACTTGTTAAAAAGGGTATCATTCTATACTTAGTTTCAAAGCAGCACTGCTTGTCTGGGTCTCTCTCTGAACCTTCCTATTCTCTTCTGTGCATTTTTTTAGAACACACGACATCCGAACCTATGCAAACCACTCCAGGACTGCACAAAACACTCCTTTTGGAGGCAGACAACCCAGGTTCAAATCCCAGCTCCAAGAGACCTCAGCCTCACAGGGAAAAATAAGGTGGGGGAGGGGTAGCTGGACTCCAGCTGTCCAGGGACATCCCTTTGCGCTCCAAGGCCTATGGCCCGGCCTCTCCTCTCACAGTCCTCCACGCCCAGGAGAGGCAGGAGCCACCTGCTCATCCTGCCAAGCTCAGGGTGCAGGCCAACTCGCCTGTGAAAATCAGGCTCATCTTACTCCCGTGAGGGCGACCCAAAATGTCAGCTGTGGAGGAGAACAGGCCGTGAGCGAGGGGCCTCTGGTTCAGCTCCAGCCCCCACGCTGCTTCTCCTTCTCCATCTGGGATCTACTGCCATCTAAACCCAACACAAAACCGGGTGTGTTCCCGAGGACGGCGTCCTCTCCCTGGCACGACAGCCTGGGAGGCATACTCGACGTCTCCAATCCCACCTCCATGACGCCATTCACGTCTTTAAGGTAATAAGCATTTAGGCAGTGCTGGCCATGTGCCAAACACTGTGGTTAAGTGGTTTTCAAATATTACTTCATCTTGATGCCCATAACCCTGCAAGAGAGATGCTACTGCTACTCTGATTTTACAGATGAGGAAACTGAGGCAGACAGCGGTTAAGTGCTTTGCCCAGGGTCCTCCTGCTAGGAAGTATCTGAGGCAAGACTGGAACTCAAGTCTTCCTGACTCCAGGTCCACAGCTCTACCCATGGCACCAACAGCTGCCTCACCTCCACCTGGCTGCTATCTATCCACCCTTTCCTCATCCTCATCATTAGCCTCTTCACTGGTCTCCCTGCCTGCTTCCCCCATCCCCATCCACCCATTGAGTGTTTCCTGGTCTGATGGGGCCTCTCCTCTGTTCACAACCATCCAGGGGCTCCCTACCCTCTAAGACAAAGCTTCTTAACCCACCCCCAAGTACATGGCCTTTTTTTTAAAACTGTATTTCAAATTGCATTTCAAACTATATTTCGGGTGGTTTCCTTTGTAATGCTTTGTACTTCTTGTGTGCCTTTAAAAAACAATACTCTGAGAAGGGTCCACCGTTCTCCCCAGTCGTCTGTCTGCCTAAGGGGCCCAGACCAGGAGAACGGTGAAGAGTCGACGCTCGAGGATAAAACACAAAGTACTCAGGGTAAGGCTCCGGCCATCACGTCACTCACTGCCGAGCGCTCTGCAAACCCAACATCCCCCCACCCGTATGCAGGGCTTTTGTCCTGGTCGTATTCCCCGCCAGAATCACACTCCTTCCTCCTCTCAAGTCCGCCCACAAGCACTGCCTAAACCCCTACTATGCACCAGGCTGTCTGCTGATCTCTAGGGATACAAAGAAAGGCCTGACCCAGTCCCTGCTCTCCAGGAGCTCCCAGTCTGACGGGAGGCATGTTTGCACACCGTCCACGGTTATGTACATACAAGATGGAGAGGACAGCCTGAGGATCTTCTCGGAGTGGGGCTTGGCAAAGGCTCCTCGCAGGAGCTGAGACTTGTAGGAATCCCCATCACGCTCAGCCTTCCCTCATCTCCCCAGCTGTTGGCACCTCCTCCAAAAGAGCTTTGATCTCATCCGGGGCCTCCCCTCCGATGACCCAGGCAGCTAGCTCTGTGGTCCAGGAAAGACAGCGCTGGGCCCGGCATCAGGAAGACCCAAGTCTGAATCCCACCTCAGACACTTAAGAGCTGGAGCACCCTGGCCAACTTACTTGACCTCTCTCTGGGCCTCTGTTTCTCCATCTGTAGCACCTACTTCCCAGAGCTCCTGTGAGGATCAAATTGAGATACATAAGCAAAGCACCAAAGAAATGCTGGCTATTGCGATGGCTGGTCTCATGAACGCAGCTCAGAGCCCATTCGAGGGCATCTCATCTCTGTCTTCTTGAGGTTGACCACGGGGTCTACTCCACCTCCTGGGGGCCTGGCCTATCCCAAGGAGCCCACGGGCTGGCTGGCTATCAGCTCCTCCTGGCCATGGCCATCTTCTTTGCTCTAATGCTTCTCTGACCACATCCTTTATTCTTTTTCTGCCTCACCTCCCATCTGCCCATCCCAGGCCCCCTTGGCTGCTCTTTGGGTGAGCCTTGGCTTACATTCTTCAGAGGCTGTGTGTCCCATGACTTGAAGCCATCAGCAGTGATAGACAGAGGGATGGAGGAGATAAGCCACTGTTTCAAGGAGAAGCTTGGGGTCATTAAGAGAATTTTGTTATTTCCCAAAGGCCACTTGACCGGCCCATTCTGTTCAGCTCCAGGGCCGGCTCCCTGTTTATTTCAGGTGTCACTCACACTCACACACACACAAAATGGGGCAGCCCCCCAACTTTAGACTGCAGTCTAGACAACAGGCCCCCCCCAACCACCGAGTATTGCTCAGGGGGTTATGTGTTTTTGTCCTGGTATCCCCAGACCCCTAATTCATCACCTCAACAAGCAGGCATCGAATGAGTTTTTAGGGAAGGAGCTAGGCTATCATCTCTAGCCCCCACCCCACCCACTACTCTAAAACAATCCCACTGTCCCATCTGAAGAGAAAGCAGACAAGATACCTTAAGGAACCCACTCTTTGAAAGAAAACATGCCTTCCTTCTCTGTCGGCCACCCTGACTTTCACCTAGCCAAAAACTACTAGGGCTGAGGGTGGGGACTGGGGCAGGAGGCAAGGAAGGCAGCAGTGAGACCCCTCCAGGCTTCAGTCTCCCTATCTGTAAAACAAGGGTGTCAGATTCGATAGCCTCTCAGCTCCCTTCTGTCTAAGGATGGAGGCTCCAGGGACCTTACTTGGCTCCCTCCACTGGGACAAAAACGGGCCACGCTGGCATACCAGGAAAGAAGGGCTACCAGCTGCAGACTCATCACCCAGAATTCCAGGGAGAGTGTGTCCCACTGGCCTCGTCAGGAGGGGAGTCAGTCCTCTCTCCCATGAGCTAACAGCAGCACACCCCCCTCCCCCCCAGACCTTCAGGGTCCTTTGGCCCTCCCCCTCTCCGGCCCCTTCCCTTGCCTCCCTTAAACTTGCAGGCTTCTCACCACTTTGCTTTCTGGTTCCCACACCCCAGAACCTCACTCTTCCTCCCCTCCTCCAGGGCCACCTCCCTTCTCCTGGGCCCAGCTGATCCCAATGGCCAGTCTGACCTCAAAGCCCCGGCCTTGGCACTCATACCCAGCTCGGGCCTAAGGCCTGCTTCTTTTACCAGCTTCCCCCCCATCCCTACACCCTGTCCCCCTCCCCAGGACAACCCTGAGCCCACATCCTGCTCCCAGGCTAATCTCCCCCTCCCCTCCCCCAGTCCCCTGGGCCTCAGTGCAGGCTCCCAGAATGCCAGGCACCCTCAGCTCAGGGACGGGGCCCTTCGCGGTTCCTCCACATTCTGGGCTCCCTCTCCCCTCCCCCCGTCCCTCGGGAGTTACTTTGTATCCACTGCCAGGTTTCAGGCCTGCTTCCCCCTGAAGTTCCCTGGGGGCAGGGCCTCTGCCTCCAAGCTCAGCACACAGTAGGTGTTTAATGAAAGGGGGCTGAAGGATGGTCAATCACACGCCAATTTCTGCGCATCCCCCCACCTCTCGGACCCTATTCCCCTTCTTTTCCCGCCCCATCACCCCTTTCCAAATCGCCACACCCATTCCCCTCCCCCAAGCCCTCCTCTTCCCTGCCTCTCTCAACGAACACTCGTGGACCCCCTCCGATCTCCCTCCTCAAACCCCCAAGGCAACCGTGGGGAAAGCGCTGCCCCGCCCGGTAGCGGGCGAATGACGAGGCCTGACCTCAAAGGACCTGGGTTCAACTCCTACCTCGGAGCCCTACTACCCGTATGACCTTGGGCGAGTCATTCACCCTCCCTGGGCCTCAGTCTCCCCATCTGTAAACGAGGCGGTTGGCCTCCCGCTGGCTGGGTGGGGAGCTCCCGGCCCCGCGATGCTGCGCCCCTCCCCCCTTACCTGCACCCTGCCGCCTCGGGGGCAGCTGCTCGGACCCCCGCTCCTGCGCCCCACTGCTCTTCCTCCTCCTTCTCCCCGCTCCGAAGCCTCCGCCAGCTCCGGCCCCCGGCCTCCCGCCTCGGGCTCGCTCCGTCAGTCCCTCCGTCGGGCCCCGGGACCCGGCCGAGGGCAAAGGAATAGGGGGAAGGCAAGGGGAAGAAGGGGGGGCGCGAGCCCGGGAGCGCGGGAGCGCGAACCGGGCAGGCGCGGGCCCGGGAGCGCGCGCGGGCGCGGCAAACGCGCAGGCGCGGCAGGGGCCTGGGCGAAACGCCAAAGACCGCGGGCAAGGAGAAGCGCGAGCACGGCCGCGGAGACGGGGGCGGGGGCAGGGCGGTGCGTGCGCGTGACGAGGAGCGCTCCCTTCTCTTCCCCCCACCCTTCTCCTGCGGGCGCGCGCCCGAGGGGCCGGTGAAGAGGGCGAGCTTCCCACGGGGCTTAGCGGGAGAGGGGGCGGGGCTGGGAGGGGGCGGGGCTGGACAGGAGGCCCGGCGGATCGAGCCTAGGGTCCGCGGCAAGGGCCGGGACGTGAGGAAGACCGGGGCTTGGCTTGGGGCGAGTGGAGGGGTCTGATGGGGCGGGTTGGACCGAGTCAGGACGGGGAGGGACAGAAGGGAGGGCCGGGGTGGGAACAGTGGGTGTCCGGGCATGGGAGGAGGGGCCGGAGGCCGGAGGCCGGGAGGGGCGGAGACCGAAGCAGAAGCCCTGGATCCTTGGGCGGGAACTGGCCAGGAGAGATGGGGGCGGAGCGAAACGAAGGGAGGTGCCTCCAGGGAGCGGGGAGGGGATTGGCGAGAACGACTAGGGGGCGGGTAATGGGTGGGGCGAAGGGAAGGAAGGTGCGCGCTGAGTGGGATAGGGCGGAAGTCGAGGTCCGCTGCGGGGGCGTGTCCGTGGAGCGGAGGGAGGTGATTGGCGACGGAGGCTGGGGGCGGGGCGCAGCCCGACGACCGCTTTGAGCGTGAGCCTGGAGGGGCAGGGTGAGGTAGGCTCGTTCCTTGGATGGGCGTGGCGAATAGCGTGGCGGGGCAGGATACCGAGAAACTTGAGAACCTGGGACCACAGAAGGGAGTTGGGGAAAAGGGGGGGGCCGAGGCGCCGGGGGGAGGAAGGGGGAGGGGCCTGAAGAAAGAGGGGAATCCAATGAATAAATAAAGGGAGCGTGGATTAAATGCAAGGGCTGTGCCCATAGGGCTATGTGCTGCTGACTGCGGATGCAAACAGAAGACTCCCCGCCCTCAGGGAGCCCACCGTCTAATGGGGGAGAAGACACGTATAGGAGGTCCCCTGGTCAAGCTGCAAGTCCAGCTTTCATGATGCTGTTACACTATTGTACGTGAGCGCCAAGGACTTTGGGAAGAGAACCTTCCTTTCCGGGTCTTCTCTAGCTGTGGCTGCATGGGGAGGGCCAGCAGAGGGGTGCTGAGCTGCTTTGAGGCTGGGTCCCCGGGGTGCGCCTTCCTGGGTTGTCTGAGCAACTTAGGAAAACTCACTCTATCCCTCCCCTCCTCCCCTGTCTCTTTCAGTCAGGACCCACCCCCACCCCCATTTGTGTTTTGTTGGCAAAGCAACTGAAGTAGTTTGCTATTTCCTTCTCCATCTCATTTTACAGATCAGGAAACTAAGGCAAACAACAGGGCAAAGTGACTTGCCCAGGGTCACACAGCTAGTACGTGTCTGAGGCCAGATTTGATCTCAGGAAGATGAGTCTTCCTGACTGCAGGCCCAGCGCTTTTTCTACTTGGACGCCTACTCAAAAATGGTTCTTTATCAACTTCCACCTTAGGAAACTGAAGTCCTGAGGGGTTAAAGTGATTGGCCTGGGCACAAGGTAGGGGATTCAAATCTAAATCCTCTGATTTAGCCAAAATCATCACTTTGCTCTGCTGCCTTTAAAAGGAGATCCAGAACTGCCTTTCCCATTTCTTTGTGTCCCCAACCCTTAGCACAGCACCTGGCACATAGTAGGTGCTTAATGAATGTTTGTTTATTACCGAAAGGGATCCTGGTATATCAGAAAGAGTCTTGGATTTTAAATGAGAGGATCTGATACTGGCTCTGCTTAATTACAACTGTGTGACCTTAAGCAAATAGCTAAACCTTTCTCAACCTCAGTACCTCATCTGGAGAAGGTAAGGGAGTGGATGAGAAGGTCTCTAAGGCCCCTTCAGTTTGAAACCTGTGACTATTGTCACCCTTCCCTCCCCAACTAGTAGAACCATAGGAAGACCAGGGAAGCACGCATTCAAAAGTAAACTAGGTATGAATAATTATTTAATTCTTTTAAAAGGCTCAAAGGAACTTTGGATCATTGGCTGAAAGCAGGCACACATCTGGCCCTACATCAAACTGCAAGCCTGTTCACAATCCCAGATTCCAGCAGCAGGTCAATTGAGTGGTTGTCTGTGAAAGACTCCTGAAAAGAGGTTGCCTTGAGGGAAAGAGGATGGAGTTTCTGTCCTTTCCCTTCCCCTTGACTTGCTGATGTCCTTGAGAACCTCAAAAACTCTGGAGTTCTACTAAGAGATGGTAGCAATGGACCTAGAGCAACAGTGGCTGAAGTCAGCAGCTAGCACAGACCAGACATATCGAGGGCATGGCTCCACAAAGTCACCAAGCCTCAGAGCCCAACAGCGTTCACAAAGGGGAACTCCAGGACTCTACAAAGGGAGGAAAGGATTTCCAGGAGCGTTGAGTTTATACTTTGGCCAAATGCGCTCTCTAAGTTTGAACCCACTCTCCCCAAGGATTTGTGAATGCAAAGGGAAAGGACATTCCTAGTTGAGGGAAAGTTTCTGTAACAACTGTTTTTGCTGTACCTGCTTAGTAAAATATCCTTTCTAAAACCTAATTAAGCCTGGCTGATAATCTGTGTGGAGCACACCCCTCACATGCAATGTGGGGGCTTAGGAGCAACTGTACTAGAAACCCCAGCCCCTCAGAATTGTCCCTGAAACATTGGAGAGAAAATAGCCACCCTTTGGGGACCTAGCTTGCCCTTGGGAATAGGAGTTAGGGAATTAGCCATAGAGGACATGCTACATTATGAATTGGTCACACCTTGATTTAACTTTCAAGTGCATGGAAATAGTAGCAGCTTTCCAAAATATTCAGTTTTGGGTGGGTAAGAAGGTGTGGTAAGAACAAAAATATGAAACAGAAGGGCATTGAGATCATGATCAGCAGAGGGGAAATGTAAAAATGAAACAGCAGAGGGCAAGAGAGGAATCTTGGAGTCACCCTTGCCTTCATTTAATGTTACCATTCATTTATTTGACAGACATTACATCCCTCCTGCATACAGAGAAATGGGGACCGTCTCCAGTCTTCCTGATCTCTATCTGGCCGCTGGACCCACATGGCCCCAGAGGAGAAAGTGAGGCTGGTGACCCTGTACAGCCCTCCCTCACTTCAATCCAATTCAGTTGCAAGTCCCGGCTTCATCTTCCTGATGTCCTTCCTTCGAGAAGGAAGGACAAACATCAACAGTAGAGCACTGTTCTGATCATTGAGGGGAGATGCAAAATTTAAGTGAGACTGTTCCTTCTCCTGTGGAGGTTAGAGTCTGGCCAGGGCATATGACACAAACAGAAATTAACAGTAGAATGAAACACTCCATGATGAGCGTATCAGAGGGGTCTTTATCCTTCCTCTCCCTCTCATTTCTGACATCCTTCTCCTACCAGGTCCAGATCCTCATCACCTCAGTCCTGACCAGTCTCCTCTCTAGTCTTCCAGCTTCTAGTCTCTGCGCTCTGATTCATCCTACAACAATATGGCTGGATCTGGGTCAGAAGCTGTTATCCCCGTGCCTCCCCATTGCCTTCAGATGAGGCTAGCCTAGTGAGGTTAGCCCCTTAGCCTAGTATTTAAGGTCCCTGGCAAAGCATATTGCCCTGTAGATGCTATTTGCATTCATTATTTAAGCACCAATCACTGAGGGGGATATAGAAACCCTCCCTGCTTTACCTTACCTGCCGTAGCTGGGAGGCAAACAGTTAAAAACATTATCTACCAACATCATCAACCACTTAGGACAATTAAAAAAGTTCAAGAGACAGTTTCTGATAATTTAATGATTTTATTAATAAGGCCAGCAGGTTATTAATAAAAGGGTGGTCACTTGCCCGACTCTCTTAGACACTCATGGTGGAAGGCTCACAGTTTATATACCCTTCCAATGAAGAACTGACTGTCACCCATGGTCACATTATCCTTGTACAGAGAAAATCTCTCTATACCAGACCACTCCCAGCCTTAGGCTATCTCCAGTGCTTCTTAAACTATGAGTCAGGAGCCCAAATGGGGTCCTGACCCACAGTTTAAGAAGTGCTGAAGGGGTCGAGAGCAGACAAAGTTTAAGAAGCCCAGATCTAGACTATGGCTTCTTAAACTTTTTCCACTGCTGCTGCTGCTGCAAATAATCTTTGGAAAACTGGACAAAAGAAGAGGTGCCCTAGGGACTGGAGAAGAGCAGATATCCTCATGATTTTCCAGAAAGGGAAGCCTGTGTGTGTCTACAAACCAGTGGGTTTCTTTTGTAGTTCTGGTCAGCATTTGAGCAGGGACCGCTAAGGGGAAGCTAATGCTGAGGTCCTCAAGACCAGGGCACGGTGACTCCCCTTATTTCCTTGGGTCAGGTGACCTGGCCGATCATGGAAATGTGGTCGATTTCACCAGAGCAGCTGACAGCCTTATGCTGCAGAGCTCACACGGGGCTTGGATCCCACTAATTCTGTATTAGCGAGGGCCAAGGAAGAGAGAAACATTTAAAATGTTAGTAATTATCTAGAAAAGGAAATGGTGGTCACAAAGCCCAACTTTGTCAAGAACAGGTCACGTGCCCTACTAACCTCATTTTGTTTCTGGACAGGGTTAATAAACTTAATAACTATATATACACACTTTTAAAACTTCATAACAAATTCAGAGTTTTATACACAGCCGTCTTTGTTGTTGTTTTTTTTAATATTGAAATGCTTAGGTTAATAATAAAAAGTTATTTTTTAAAAATGGCTGCTCTAACAGGGATGGATTTACTTGCTATTCAGTTGTGTCTGACCCTCTGTGACCCCATTTGGGGTTTTCTTGACAAAGATATTGGGGTGGTTTGACATTTCCTTCTGGTCATTGTACAGATGAGGAAAAGCAGAGTTAAGTGACTTGCCCAGGGTCACACAGCTAGTACGTGTCAAGTGTCTGAGGGTGGATTTGAACTCAGGTCCTCCTGACTCCAAGGCCAGAGCTCTATCCACTGCGCCACCTCACTGCCCCCATTTAATATTTTTTATTGGTGACTTGTACAGCACGTTTACCAAATTAGCAAATGACACAAAGCTAGGAGAGATTAACTAATATATTGGCTGACATAGGATCCAGACATTTTGGCAAACTGGAACTTTGAGTTGATTTTTTTTGCTCTGCATCTATTATTTCATAGGGAATTCCCAGTGTGGAAACCTCCATCCTCCATTGGAACTTGATGAATTAAACAGCAAGCATTTGTTGAGTGACTACTGTATACTTTAGGTACTGAGGTTACAAAAATAAAAATAAAAGCAGTCCTTGCTCTCAAGTTGCTTACCTCATTCTGTCAGGAGAAACAACCGGATAAGCCCATTATTGTAGAACCGGTGATGGTCCTGATGGGATGCTTGGCTGCCTTGCTTGGATCCCAATTCCCAGACCATATTTCTCCCTAGCCTGAGAAACACTGTCCCTGGCAATTTCTCTCCAGCCCAAAGACAGTATGCCTAGCAATTACTCACGAGTGAGCCTCAGCAACACACTTCTCTCTCTCCTTGGTGCAATTACAAACTGCACCTGAAGGAATTATTAGTTTGAACTGGCTTTGTGGCTTATAACGATACTCATAACCACTGGACTATATGTACTAACTCCTTACCTCATTATGTACATCCTGGTCTCCTCACTATGTGTATTCTAGACTTAAGACATATGTACACTTCCTGCATCTATCTTGTCAAACATGACATTGATTGGTGGCAGACTGGGCAATCCTCAGTCAGCCCTGACTGCTAGTTAATTTAGTGACCTAGCAGGCTTAAAACCACACCTCCATGTGGCCCTACCTTGGGCTTTTTCTGGTGAACTCTGGGTAAAACGCCTGAGCAGTAGATACAAAAAGTGCATGTTCCTTTAAGAAATGACCACTCCTTAACCTCGCCCTAACCCCCTCCCGAATCACCTAGTTAGCCTATTTGGCACATGTTGTAGTATAGTTTATTTTATATAAACTTTAACTGAACCCCTCTAAGGTCGCAGGTTCCTTAAGAACTTTTGCCCGCTGAATAGCGTAACAATAAACTTTTGCCAACTTGACTTAAAGGTTGCTTGAGTCAGGGAATTCATTCCAGACGGCCCATCCTGTACTTCAGTCTTTGAGGGGTCTCTGAACCTCTCAGACCTCCACAGCCCCAAGCAGCTAGGGTGCTGCACCACTCCCTTCTGCACTAAGGGGTCCTTTGTTTTGGACTCAAGCTTCTTGTCGGAGCCAAGATGAGTCTTGGGGGAACTTGGCCCCTACTGAGACTAGGGCCCCTTTTCTCATCCCCACTGGCTCATTAAACCCCTACGACAAATTGGGTTGTGGCTTACATCTAGGGTTTCCCCAAAAGGGATCTGTTAGGG